TATAAATGACTTTTAGTATTCGCTCCTCCAAAAGCTTTTGTGCTGTCAGTCATTTATCCTTAAATACCTTTTAACCTCCCTTATATGCATAGTTTCTCCAATATTTGAATTGGTGCAACTCATATAAAAAAAAAATCAGGCTAGAACAATCCAAGGGACCAAGGGTTTCTTGCCATTAAATAATTAGTGCAAAGATCTCAAAATTGTTATATGCCTGAAGCAGTATTGATTTAACTCTGTGTTGAAGGTGGAGTGAAAAGAGACAAGGGTTTTGAAAAGGGAAAATTTTGCCAGGCTACTAAAGAGCACTGATGTCAGTTTAAAGAAAAAGGGATATCTGATGCAAGCCGTGTGTTTTCCAGTACTTCCTATGAACCTGAAAGCTGGACAATGATTGAAGACAACAGAAGAACAGATTGCCTATGAATTGTGGTATCTGAGAAGAGAACTGAGTATTTCACAGACAGCCAAAAGAACAAGTGTGTCTTGGAGCAAGTACAACCAGAGTGCTCAAGAGAGCTAATCAGGGTGAAATGCTCTCCCACATTCTTTAGGCATGCTGTCAGGAGGGGCTGGTCCTTAGAAAAAGACATCATTCAGTAAAGCGTGGAGGGTGACAGAAAGAGAGGAAGGCCCCAATGAGGTGGACCGACAGTGACTTTAACATGCGTGGACAGGGAAATTATCATGAGGATGGTGCAGGACAGGCCTCAGATCTGCTGTCATAGGCTTGCTATGTGCCACCAAGATGGAACCAACCCACAGATGGAAAACGTGTTTTTGGCAGAGTAACCTGGAGCCTGACAAGGAGTGGTGAATGTGTGGGTAGGGTGGCAGCAGGAAATGAAAAAACAGTGTCTGAGGGAGATGAAGGACACAGAATCAGGAAGTATTTCATACCAAGAAGCTGTGGATGTTAGGAAGCCCCGGGGGTGTAGTCCACAGGGAGTTGCCCTATTAACCTGAAGTTGGCTCCACAAGTTGTCACCAGCGCCTCTAGTGGAGAACGATGGGTAGTTTCCTCCTGTAGTACTTGCAGCTTGGAAAGCTGCTAAAGGTCTGTCAGCTCAGGGCAGTGAGTTTGAGTTTTGAGATATGTGAAGATTAAGGAGAAGGCAGGAATCACAGAAAACTCCCACTGATAAGATCATTTGCATGATAGGCACCTGAGGGGAAACAGGAGTTGGGGAGGGGCAGTCGGCTTTAGATAAGATGTGGTTTAGGTTCCTGTAGCCTATCCAGACCTCAGTTGATTATACAGGTCAAAGCTCAGAGAAAGAAGGGAAAAACCCCAGAGTCAGGATACAGAAGTGACAGCTCATGGGGGCACCTTACTAAAGGGACAGGAATGGGTGTCATATATAGCCCACTGGTGGCCTCATGGGTAGCCCAAAGGCAAAAAATCTGAACTCATCATCTTGCTCCGAAAAAGAAAGATGGGCAATCAATCTCCTCTGTGGGGATTTACAGCCTCTGCAAACTCGCTGGACTGTCAGCCATGAGTCAGTTCTGACCAGGCTGTGGTGAGAGAGCTAGGGGGCTGGCTTGATACATATATTATTGCAGTCAAGTCAGAACCAACTGTGGCAGACCTTCCTTTGGGTCTCCAAAGCTAGAAATCACCTGGGACAGAAAGTGAGGAAAACCCAAAATCCGTGTTGCTGCTGGCCCCCTGCCTTCATCAGGGTTTACAGGGTTACGGCCTTTGAACAGCGGTTCTCTACACTTATCCTCTGTGGTGTCTCTGGGTAGTTCTCAACCACCAACCCTGTTAGTAGTCAAGTGCTTCCATGCCACCCCGTGATTCCTAGGATCAGGAAGACCTGATCAATCTCAGCTGTCCACCTAAAGTTGGGCAGGTAAATGAACCTTTCGGAAAGGATTCTCATTGGAGGAAATTCCCACTGGAATTTAATGAGATCAGAAATGAACCTGATGTTACGCCTGATACAGAAAACATTTCATATTTTCGCCCTTTCATAATAATATATTAATGCTTTATATTATAAATGAATTTTAGTATTCGCTCCTCCACAAGCTTTCGTGCTGTCAGTCATTTATCCTTAAATCCTTTTAACCTCACTTATATGCATACTTTCTTAAATATTTGAATTGCTGCACATCATATAAAAAAAATCAGGCTAGAACAAATCAAGGGACCAAGGGAAATGAAAAAACAGTGTCGGGACTTGAGCGACACCCCCAGCATGGCCGACTTACTGCTCTCCAGGCTGTGGGGAGCAGTTCGGGGCTTGGAGTGGGCATCTTGCAGAGTGTGCTGCATGTCCTTGAGGTTGTCTTTGGAAATGTCCTTGGAGCTCCTGGGTGCTCCAGTTTCTTCGATCTCCCTGAGCCTTCTTCGATACCGATCGAGCTTCTTCTGCAGCCGGGCAATGGAGTGAGCTGACTTCTGGTTCTTCTTCTC